TGCACAGCGACCCGCTGCACGACCACGTGGCGCTGCCCATTGTCGCATGGGCCAAGGCGGTGCAGTTCAACTCAGATAGTAGGGACCTGAGGGCCCTGGGCAGCGCTTTCGCGGGGGCCAGGGCGTTGCTGGCCAGTGGCGAGCCTGAGGCGTTGGCTGGGCGCGGGCCAGCTGCTGCGTGCGTGTTAGCCTGCCACCGCCTGGGCTGGGCCGCCACGCTGCCAGGGCTGCTCGCCGACGACAAGCAGCAGCTGCTGGACCTACGGACCCTGGGGGCCTCCGCGCTCGCCAAGCACATCGCCGCTGGCCACGAGAGGGCGCTGTGGCGAGCAGCGAGCAAGCACCCGGGGCTGGAGCATCTGCGCGATGGAGGCGCCCTGTCCAGCATCCGGCGCACACTGGCACGCAAGCGCATGAGCAAGCCGAGGGCCAAGCAGATGAGCTCGGCCAAGAACGCGCTGGTCGGATGTCTCTGGCCCGTGGCGCGGCGCTTCTTTGAGGAGCGCCCATTGGCCTCCTCTCCTCGGTGCCCCAGGGGATGCCCTGCGCACGGCACCGTGCGGCACCTGGCGCGGCAGTGCCCTGCCGCCGAGGCGAGCTGCGCCGAGTGGATCTCCAACGAGGAGGCGGACGAGCGGCGCCCCCCTGGCGACATCCCCTTTCGCACCATCGTCGGTATGGCCAGCATCGGGGGCGAGGAGGGCCCGCTGTGGCCCCGCGCTCTTGCACCCGAGCACCGAAGGACCCTGCCGCCGCCCACCGACACCAGGGAGGCGCGGAAGGAGGGCCGTGCCGACTTGGTGGGGCAGCCGCTCTCGGGCGACCTCTTCACGGACGGGAGCGTTCTGGACCCCAGCCTCGTCTCGGCGCGCGGCGGCTGGGCGGTCGTCGTCATGGGGCCCGACAGCGAGGCAGTCAGCCTCTTCGGCCCGCTCCCCTGGCCGTACCCCCAAGAAGCAGGGGCAGCGGAGCTCGCGGCGGCCATCGAGGGCATCCAGAGCTGTTTACCACCTGTGCGGATCTTCACTGACTGCCAGCTGCTCGTGGACGGCTTCGCGGCGGGCAATGCGTGGTGCCTGCAGTGGCAGCGGCCTTACCGCGAGCTGTGGGTGCGGTTCTGGGCGGCCCTCGACGACGTGGGGGTCGACAGCGTCACCATCCACAAGGTGACAGCGCACGCCACGCTGGCGGACGTGCAGGCGGAGCGCATCACGGCTTGGCAGCGGCGGGGCAATCACAGCGCCGATGCCCGTGCCGTGCAAGGCGCGCAGATGCATCCCAGCGACGACGACGTGCGAGACAGGAGCCGCAGGCAGGACTGTCTCGTCAAGAAGGTCTTCTGCTGGCTGGGCGCGGCGATGCAGGACGGCGACGCCGAGCTCACAGCAGCGGACGGGCATGAGGGCCCAGGCATGGAAGCAGTTCGGTGCGATTGGCGCGGCTGCAAGATGCGATGGCGAGCTCACTGCAGTTTCCCCGACTGCCCGCAGCGCACGTGCGGGCGGCACGGGACGTGGCTGGACGTCGACGGCGACACGGTCTGGGCCTGCCAGCAGTGCGCGGGCAGGGGCGACGCGCTCGCGGGCCCCTGGGCCTCAGGGGCCGATAGCAGTGGCGGCTCGGTTGCTGCAGCCGCGGCGCTCCTCACGGCGGGCGCGGCGCTGCTGTCCCGCAGTCAGGCCAGCGATGCACCAGCACAGGTGGAAGGAGACGAGGCGCGTGCAGGGCGAGAAGGCAGCGGCGCGCCTGGCGGCGGCCAGCGGGGCAGCCCACCGACGTCGGAGGGCCCTTCTGGGGCCGGTGGCGGGCCCCCGCCGCCGCCGCCGCCGCAGCTCCCGCCGTGGTGGGGATTCGACGCTCACGGCTCCCACGACCTGTGGCGGTGTGAAGTGCGGCTACTGGACGCAGAGCCGCAGGATGGCGGGCTTGGCAGCGGAGTGCCCGAAGGCCCCCAAAAACGACAGGCAGAAGGCGGTGCTCAGCAGGCTGAAGCGCGGCCTGCAGCCCGCTGGGACGGGTGGCATCGGTGACCCTGAGCCGCTGCGGCGCATGCGCAGGCGCGTCGATGGTGGCTAGGCTCTTTCTTGCCGCGCTTGCCGCCTCGCTCTGTCTGCCTTCACGCGAACAGACGTGTGGTTTACACACGGCTGTTCGGGCTGCCTCTGCAAGGCAACCAAACCCAACTCTGGTGCCTCAGGCCGCATGGGGGTGTTGCCTTGCGGGGGCAGTCGCTGCTGCGAGGCGCGTTCCGCGCCGCTCTCCAGCCGCGTCGCTCGTTCCAGTGCTGAGGCTGAACCAAGTGCGTAGGAGTTTCCACACGCACGGGATCGGGCTCGGCTGCCAGCGGCTACGCAGCAGGTCGGCATCAGGCCAGGACCCGCTGCGATGTTGGTGGCGAGGTGCATCCGCTTTCGCACGGTGCTCAGTCGGGCGCGCTCTGTGCCTTGCATGGCTCGCCCAGCGGAAGCTGAACCAGGTGCGTAGGTTCGCCCACGCACGGGATCGGGCTCCGCGTCGCAGCAGCAATGCAACCTGTCCCTCCTTCGGCCAGCTGCCACGGGAGTGTCGCAATGCTGGTGCGCTGTAGTTTGTTTTTTGCTGCTCTGCCCCGCGCTTGAGCGGAGGCTGAACCAGGAGCGTAGGATTTCCCACGCTCGGGATCGGGCTCTGCTGCCAGCGGCAACGTTACGTCCCCTTGGACGCTGCGATGCTGGTGGCTAGGCCGCCTTTCGCTCGGCGCTCGTGTCCCGCTCTAGAGCTAGCTCTCTGCCGTTGCACGGCTCTCGCTCGAGCGGAAGCTGAACCAGGTGCGTAGGTTTCCACGCACTGGAGCGCTCCGTTCAATGTAGAGGCTGGCGCGCTTGCCGCGACGGCCAGCGCTTCTTGTGCCCCAGCTTGCTCTGCTCTGTGCCGCCAGTCGGAGGCTGGACCGTGGTGGCAGGTTCGCACACCGCCATGGTTGCCTCCGAAGGCCACCGCATTGCAAACCAGTCCCTGTCTGAGGCCAGGTGCCAGCGGGAGGTTTGCGTTGCTGTGGCACCTCGAGCCAGCAAGCTGAGTTGCCGTGAATGCTCGATGCCCTGCCTTCCGCTTGCCTCGGCCGAGGCGGTTGGCGTGGCCTCTAGTTTTCAGGCGAGTCTGCGAGTGTGCCTTGGGCACGGGTCAGCATCATCATCATCATCATCATCATCATCATCATCATCATCATCATCATCATCATCATCAACATCCCCTATCACCCTCATAATCCTCATCATCTTTATTACGGCTCCCCCCAAGCCTTGAGACACGAGGTGATGCATGCGACGGCCTCCCGTATCCCCTCGAACAATCGCCGCCAAAGATGCTGAGCTGGCACGGTGGCGGGACTTGTCGCAGGCAGCTGGGTGCACATTCCCTAAGCCCAGAGATGGCGTACGTACCTTGGTTGCCCATTATCCAACCGCAACTGTGGCGCCCCAGAAACCGTGCGAGGCGCAACCAATGGGACGGGCCCGTGGACACTTGTTGTTTCTTGTTGCTTCGTGTGGCTAGACTTCCTGCGGCTGGCGCGGGGTCCCAGGCTCCGAATCCGAGCATGGATTCGGAAACCCGCATTGGGGGTATCTGGGAACCGATGCTATGATGCGCTGGCAAGGAAAGACGGGGTACAGCCAGACGCTGCGACCCGATGGTCGGCGACACGCGGGGCGAAGAAGTATCGCCAAGCGCCTCCTCCGCAGATGACGGCTGTGGATCATGACGATGGCGACGACAAATAGGGGTATACATCGTTTAATGTCTAATCTGAGCCTTGAGATGAACTGCGCGCAAAGTCCTGCGCTGGCACGGTGGCGGAACTTGCGGCAGGTAACTGGACAAATGCTAGTGATGACGACGACCATGATGATGCCAGGGTTTCAGAGACATGTTCTAGACACAACGTGCAAGGTACGCTGATGGCTGAAGCTTCCCATCGAAGCACAGGTATGATATTTCAACAACGACTGCTGTCCAAACGATTCTCAATAGTTAGTGTCCAGTGGGTGGATTTAATGGTCACGCTCGGGGAGCAAGTTACCAAACTTTTTCCCTACCTAGGCTCTGCCTAGAAGGGTTCTTACTCGGTATGCTTAAAGGGCCGGGCAGTGCAACTCGCCCCGGGCGGTTCCCCCAGTATCCGCCCCGCGGTTCCCCCATTTACGTCCCCTTAGCTTAGCGTTGCTTATCTCATCTTAGCGTAACTTATTTCATAGCTTAGCTTAGCTTCATCTTAGCTCAGGTTTGTATTAGCTTAGCTTACCTTCATCTTAACTTCGCTGAGCTTTAGCATAGCAGAGCACCGCAGATCATAGCATAGCGCAGCATAGCATATCATAGCATAGCCCAGCATAGCATAGCATAGCGCAGCATAGCATAGCATAGCATAGCATAGCGCAGCACAGCACAGCACAGCATGGCATAGCATAGCAACTACTGCTGCTTTCCTAGGGGCTCCAACTTCTAGGTAGGGTCGCACTTGGGTAATTCTGGTAATGGCTGTACCTGTCATGCCTAGGGTAACTTGGGCAAGCCAGCGGCTTCGTGAAAATGCCTCGTCCGAGCCACAAGCGAGTGATCATGCCCTGTGTCCCCATCAGATGGATTCAGTTCTGAGGAATACCAAGCAAAGTCTTACCATCCGATGTGCCATTCAAATGCGAAGTCGAGCCAACAAATGCGAAATCCATAAACACCATGAACTACTCGCAACATGCCATTATTGCAATACCCGATGTGACCAAGAAAATCACCGGCACAATTTTCGCGTGCAGGGGCAGAACGACATAAGATCAGACATGAACCCAGTAATTCCTACCATCACATGGAAACGTGTGTACACATAGCCAGGGTCAAACGATATCATCAGAATAATAATAATGCTAATAAGCATCACACTAATAATAAGAACAATACGAATTATAATATGTCCCCTTCATCTTCGACACGCAATCAACGCCGCGCTGCTCTTGAGTCGGAGCCGGGATCTCAAACACCCGCGACACCTCGGCGGGCAACTGTCCAATCACATGATCAAAGAAACGAAATACATCTACCGCGTGAGTGGTCTTCACTGGCTCAATCAACATCTCGACAATGTTCTCCCAGTCGTTCGAATCGGACGCGCTGGGACTACATAGGTGTGGGAGAAAAGTTGACAGGACGTCCTGTGGTCCACGTCGCGGAATGCGTGGCAGGAATGCGTGGCACGAACGAGCGAAACGTCGTTCTCGCACTCCTTGAGATCTTGAGAACGTGCTCCCAATCGGCGCACCACATCGCCACGGCGGACTGTATGTGCCAACCTGGAAAAACTTCCTGCGCCAGGCTATTCGTCTGCGTGGCAGTGCGGGGCGCCGCGGCTCTTATTCGGACACCGGGACAAGCCGACAAAGAAACGCGGGCCAGGCAAAGGGCAGAAACGAGCAAGAGAGCGAGGAGCCGAGGAGCGAGAAGGGGAGGGGGAGAGGGAGGGAGGACGACAGGAAAGGACAGACCGGGCCGACAGACGGACGGACAGGGGACGGGGGGACAGGGAGGGGGAGCCAAGCGGAAGGGAAAGGGAGAGCACACACCACACAAGGGCAAGGAAACACAAGGGCGAGGGAGGACACGGGGAGAGAGAGGGGGAGGGGAGAGGAGAGGGAAGAAGGAGGAGCCAGGGGCCGGGGCCAAGGCAAAGAAGAAGGAAAGCGGGCCGAAAAACACACCGGTGCGTCAGCGCATCACGAAAATTGTCGGCTTCCCTCTCGACGGGAGAGAAGCTCCACAGAGCAGCCAGGCCTGGAGGGAGAAGGAGGAGGAAGGAGGAGGCAGGGGAGTGGCCTACAATGAGCCCTCATCTTCCTCTGCCAGAACGTCCCTGGCCGCTGCGACTGCTCCTGAGGCAGGGGCCTCCTCCGCCTGCCGCCGGAGGATGGCGCGGGCGGACGCCCTCCGGATGGCCACCGACAGCTGCTGGAAAAGGCGCGTCGCCCCGGACCCCGGCTCCTCGCCCAGGCGCGCGTCGCTGGCCCTCGCCAGGAGACGGAGCGTCGCAGCCCCCGTCGGGCCCCAGCCACCCGTTGGCTCTGCGACCAAGGGGATGAAGAGCAAGCCCTGTTGTCTGCAGAGAGCCTCTGTGTCGAGGTGGGTGCGCTTGACCACCTCGTACGCCTCGGCGGCGCTTCCAATCCCTTGGAAAGCCATGCCCCGGGCAGCCTGCCGATGCGGCGACGAGACCGCAAAGTCGAAAGCGGCAGGCGCGCCTAGGTGCCAGCTCGGGATGTGCACGTCGGCGGGGCGGCGCCCGATAGCGCGGTCGTCGCCCGGGCGCGGCGGCAGGGGCCCCGGCCTCTCCAGCTCCGGGTTGTAGCCGGCAGCGGCGGCGAATCGCCCGACCAAGTTGCGCGCGGCGTTGTGCCGGCAAACCCAGTCCCCCGCGCCCGCGCAGAGGCCCGCGTGTCGCCCGTGCCGGTCGCAAGGCTCGTCGCAACAGGGGCAGAAGTGGTCCGCGTCGTAGACCGGCATCAGAAGCCGCCTCCTCAGTTCGGTGAGGAACTCTTCCGGCTCGAAAAGCAGCCCCAGCTTCTCGTTGGGCGCCACTTCCAGGAAGCCCGACGCGCCGGGGAGCAGCTCGGACTGGATGTCCGCGCGGTCGGCTGCCCCGAGGTTCTCCAGAAAGTGTCGGTGCCAATAGTCGTCGAGCGCGGCGGAGAGGTCCTTCTGCTTGGCCGTCTCGAGAGCGCCCGGGCGCAGGCCGGCGGACTGCGGGAGCTGCGCGTTGTGCGCAGAGAGAGCAGCTCCAGCCCGCGTGCCCGCATCCTCTGGTGCCCAGCTGCACGCCGGGTCCAGCTCCGAGCACAGGCGCCGCGTGGCGCCGAGGCTCGCCAGGTAGGCGCCCGCCGCGTGCGCTTCCAGCCGCCGCAAGCCCAGGCCGGCGTACGCCAGACCCCTGAAGGCCTGGCGCCACTGGGCGTCTGTCAGGTCCGCGGCCAGTAAGCCCCCCAGGGCAGCCCGCTGCGCGGCGTCGAAACTTCGGAGGGCGCCAGCCTGCAGTTCCGGCGGCGCGGTGCGCGCGCAGTAGACCAGTTTGCCAAAGCTCGCGCAGTGCCGGAGAAGAAGGAGGGCAACCTGCGGGTGCAGGGTCTCCAGCGCCGCCAACGTCGGCCCCACCTTGGTAGCCCGTCGCTCAGTGAAGGCCTCGGTGAAGACCTGGTCCCCGATCGGCGCGCCGAGGAGCCGAAAACCGCCTCGCTGGACAACTCGGTCGGCGCCGGTGTCGGGATCCGTCAGCAGAGGCGCGGGGAAAAGTCGATCCAGGCCCTCCGGCTTCTGCCCTCCAGGCACCACGAGCTCGCACTTGCCCAAGTTGAGTGCAAGCCCCAGCGCTGGGCAGCGCACTTGCAGGGTAGCGAGCGCTCGCGCCACGGCCTCTGCTGTGCCTGCCAGGAAGCCGTCGTCCAAGTAGAAAGCTTTCAGGTCCAGCTCCCGGTCCCTTGCCAATTCCTCCAACACTGGGTGCACGGCCAGAGAGAAGAACAGGGGGCCCAATGGGTCGCCCTGCTGGATGCCAGCTTGGGAGGACAGCGCGTGCGCGCCGAAACGCAGGTGCGAGTGTTCCGCGTACGTCCAGCGCGCCCACCGCTCCAGCTCGGGGAAGCGGTCGCCGACGGCTCGCAGCACCTCGCCGCGCCGCAACGTGTTGAAGGCGTTCGCGAAATCCAGCTTGAGTAGGACCTTGTTGCCCGGAGTGCTGTTGCGTTCGCACCACTGGCGCACGGCGTGCACGGTTGCCTCTGCACCCAGCGGGCTGCAGCAGCCTGTCTGCAGCGGCCAGAGCGTCTGCCGGGCCCTGCTCTTCACATGTTCGCACAGGACCTTGCTCGTGAGGCGGCGGAGCACCTCACCGACTGCGATTGGCCGGACACCGCCGTCCTCCTTTTCCAGCGCCACCAAGCTGGCCCCAGCAAAATGCGGCGCCAGCTGCCGGGGCGCTTCTCCATTCGCCAGCAGGTGTCCAACGGCAGCGAGCTGCTCGCAAACTGTCGCACGAGTGGCGGGTGTGAGAGTCCAGCAGGTGTTGGGCTCGAAGTCCAGAAGGGCCTGGGGCGGTGCCTTTTGGGAAAGCGCGCAAGGCCTTGAGCACGGCGTTGGGCGCGAGCTCTGGCGCGGCCAGGAGCGAGTCCAGGTGCCCGAGCGGCTCGGCAGGCGCCCTCGGGCGCAGTCGTTCGAGGGCCAGCACCGTCTCCCTCGTCTGTTCGGCCAGACCTTGGGCCGTCAGGGCCGCGCACCCTTTGGCCAGAAGGCCCTCTGCGGCGTAGGCCGTGGCGCGCGCTGCCCGTAGTTCGGCCGTGGGCGGGCCGGCTGGCCGACGACGGCGGCCAGGCTGCGCGTCGCACGCCTCCTGCCAGAGCGACTGTCGCTCGCCCGCCTCCCAGCGCGCGAGTCGTTCCAACGTGAACGCCGCGAGGGCCGATTCGTGGTCGCGGCCAGTGCGCGGGGGCACGCTGAGGACAGTTTTGGCCAACATCTGCAAGTCCGTCCAAGCAGCCACCGAGTTGTGCGCCACCACACCCGCAAGGCAGCGAGTGAGCGCGCGGGACCAGGCGGCCCGGGCACGCTTGGGGACGTACCGGAGGGTGGGCACGCTCGCGGCGTGGACGCTCGCCAGGGACGGGCGGCCCTCCCCAACCCCTCTGCCGGCGGCCGCGTGGACTGGCTGCGGCGCGGCGGCCACCCGGAGGGCTGCGCGGTCCGCTGGGCGGCACGCGGGGTGCACTCCCCGATTGGCCCCCACGCTGAAGCCGCAGACTCGGCATCGAGCGCGGCCGTGCCGGCGAAGCCACTCGGAATCCACTTGGCCGGCGAGCTGCCCGCTGAGGTGCGCGTCCAAGTGGCGATGGAGGCCTTGAGCGTTGGCCCAACCGTGGTGCCTGGCCGGGTCGGCGCACGGGCAGCCGGCCACAGGGCAATGCCAACGCGTCGGCGGCGGGTGTGGCGGCACGGCCGGCATCGCCTCGTCGAAGTCCAACCTGCGGACCCCCCGGCGCAAGTCGTCAACTTCCATCTCTGGCTGTTGGCCAGGTCCTCCCGGAGGGACCGAGCCCGCCCTGTCGGCAGCGGCAGCTGGACCCTCTTGAGCTCCACGACGGCCAATGGGGGGTGAGGACGCGCCGCGCTCCCGGCTACGGCTCCTCTGCCGCGCCTGTCGCTCACCGCCCAGTGGCGTGCCTGGCAATGGGGGGCCTTCCCCTGGGTATCCCAATGTAGAATCGAAATCCTTGCCCCGCCAGGTGGCGGCCAGCGCCGCCGGTGCGGAGTCGCCGGCCATCAGCAAGCGAGAGAATGTGGCCCATGCGTCCGTTGAGTATGCAATCGAACCAAAATGCCCGCCTGCCAGAAGCAGCCGGGGCATGACGACCGAGGCCGTGAACTCGCCGGAGACAGCCAGCCCCAAGCATGCCCCCAGAAGAGCAGCCACCAGCATCCAGCCGCCGAGCCGTAGGCCTGCCCAGAGGTGCGCGCTCCGAGCCGCACGGGGCCGAGGCAGCTGGGCGACAGCGGCCGGGCTCCTCTCTGCCCAGCCGCGGTAGAGCGCCTCGTGCACGGAGCGCTCGTCCCACGAGATCGCCGCGGCTGACCCGTGCCGAAAGCCTGGCGATGCGGAGAGGAACCCGCGGTGCTCGAAGATGAAGGTCTCGAGGTATAAGTTCCGCCGGCCCGGCGCCTGCGTCCTCGGCCAGTCGTCTGGCCGGAAGCGGGCGTGCGTGAGCCGCAGGAACGCGCGCCTCTCCTCGGCCGCGAGGCGGCACTGGAGTCGCCGAGCCCCCAGTGCGCCTTCCCGGCTGCGCGGAGGCCGTCCTGCGGCGGGCTGGAGCGGGCACGCCTTGCACCATCCCCACGGCTGGCCGCGGGCCGCTGAGATGCAGCCGGCGATGACTCCCAAGCATCGCAGCAGCTGCCTCAGACCTCCCATGATGGTGCGAGGGGTGCCGAGGAGGGGAGGGGGAGGAGGGGCCCAGGGGGGGCGTCCGCGCGCGAGCCTTGGACCTGGCGCGAGCCTTGGACCTTGGCCTTGGCCTTGAGCCATTTCTCTCTCTTCCTCCTCTCTTGCTTGCCATCAGATCGACAATTCTCAGCGAGCCAGGTGATGCAACCGGTCGGGTAATTCACGAGCGACCCACCAAGAGTATTGCAACCGGCGGCTTCTTATTGTGGATGTCCACCTGGAAAAACTTGGCTAATGAAGTTTACGCAAACCCACACCCATGTAACATAGTGACGTCATTCCCTAGCAGATCTGGCCTCGAGCCGGTGGAATTGAAATGGAAGATACTCGCAGGTTGCCACAGTATTTGGTATCCTTTCGCGTAGCGAAAGAAGTAGGTGTAATGCCAAGGGCCCTTGAGCCAGAATGGCTACGGAGGACGGGTCCTTGACAGCCCTGCCCCTTTCCGGATCATGCTCTGCTGGCCGTGGGCAGTCATATGCAGACAACCGAATTCTTGCGCCACAAATGCCGCCCTGCATCTCCCAGGCGACCTGAAGACATCCACGGCCTGGCCGTCTGCAGAACTCTGCAGCGACGAGCTTGTGCCTGCGCCAGCGGCGGGGCCCTCGTCGAATGCCGACGCCTTCCGCTTCCGCGTGCTCGCCGGCGGGGCCGCCGCCGTCCCCTGGCCGTGGCTGCCGTCTGGCCGCATGCCCGCCAGGCAGAAGTGGGCGAGCTGCTTGAGCAGTGGGCCCCGGAGCAGCGCGGATGGCGCGGACCCCGCCAGCGCCACCACGAGGCCGCATGCCGCCTGGCGCGTCTCAGCCTTGGGTGGCAGCTCTTGCGAGTCGACGCCCGTCGACGCCACAACGACGCTACATCGGCGCTCTCTCATCGATCACCAGACGCTGGCACACGCTGAGGCACTCTGAAAACGGAATTGCGAGGACATGCGAGGCTCCCATGAGCTGCTACCAGATCAGCCTGCCCGGCCCGCGGCAACACGGCCACGTACTCCAGCCACTTCCGCACCTGAGCGGTGTGTGGCAGCAGCGCAGCACCGGCCACCTCCGCGAGGGCTGCTGCGAGCTCCAGGCCGCGTGCGAGCGCCGCGCGAGCGGCCCTGCCGGCGCGGGCCTCCTTGCTCGAGTCGCGGAGGATGGCCACGACTACGGAGTCGATGGTGCCGACGAGCCTGGCGATGGGCAGGACGACCACCAGCGAATCCTCCGTGGCTCCACCGCGCTGCCCGCGGCGCCCAGCCGAGGCTTGCTGCGCCGGCCCCCGGCCGAAGAGCACCAGGCGGTGCAGGTGCTCCAGCAGACGCTCGCTGTGGGCCTGAGCGGCCAACGTCGACGCGCCAGCGGCGTCCGCGGACCGGGCCGCCGTGGCGAAGACGTCGGAGAACTCGGAACACGCGGTCTCGATAGCCTCGTCCACGCTGGGGGCGGACTGATGGTCCCCGGCCGACCCGGCTGCAGCCGGGGCCTTGGAGAGCCACGTCAGGCGGCACAGGGCGAGCGAGGCGGCCTCCGCGATCTCGCGGCGCGCGTGCGCTGCCAGCGGCCACAGGCTTGTCCAGAGCAGCGCGGGCTGGATGCCCAAGATCAGCTGCTCGCCTGTGCCGCGCCCGGCCGTCTCCTCTCACGCTGCCCCCGCTCCTCCACTCCCCTGCATCCGGCCCCATCCTCGTCTCCTTCCGCTGACAGGGAAGCGTGCACATCTCGGGTCGGGCGAAAGGGGGGGATTGGGAAAGGGGGGGTTACGAAATTTGCTGCAGCAGCTGGTTTCGGCCTCACCGAGGGGCCCATTCCTCGATACATTGGCGCCTCCCGGCGCCGGGAGGCGCCGGGAAAATCAGCTACGCGAGCTGATTCTCAAACCCCACCTTTGCTATCCCCCCCTTTTGCCCGACCCGAACATCTTACGCTGACAGAGCAGCATGCACACCTTACCACTGCCACACAACTCTCCTGGCTTGGCGCGCGGGCCCCACTCCAAGGCGTGCGCGCACAACCACGACAACGGGGCATCCCCGCCAGCTGAACCTTACGCGAGGTCCGTACACCTCAGGCGATGCTTAAGAAAACTTAAATTTTCGGCCAGAGTCTCGATTATTCTTAACCTTTCAATGTAAATCCTAAGCTTTGAATGGAAATTTTGGGTTTTTATTCAAGTTCTGAGACTATGAATTTCTTAACCCATGATTTCTTAAGCATTTCGCAGGGTGTATGACACGGGCCATCGAGCCACCCTGCCCACCATCGCACACTCTGGTGACTTCCTCGCCCTCTCTTGCCTCTACCCCCTCGCTCGCGGACACTCCCCGAAGCGCATCGGCTGGCCCCAGAATGTCGGCGTCGGGTGATGCGGCCGGTGCCACGGGCCAATCCACGCTTCTTAGAAGGAGGCGGCTTCTTAGGAGGAGGTGGGGGGGGCGTCGGGGCATATGAGCGACGATCAAGCGGGTCTTACGCGAGATGGCATGGCGATCTTACGCGGCGGCTTACGCGGGCCGCCGGCGCGGCACGCCACACTGGAGACGAGGGCGCTTACGCGCGACCTTACGCGAACAGCTTGCGCGCCAATGCCGGCGCAGACGGCCCCCGTTTTTTTGACTTGCTCTACTATGGGCGCTCGCCTGCGCGCACCATGAGCGCAGACCTGCGTGCACCACAAGGGGCGGGGGCGAGGCGAAGCTGCGTGGGGACGGTGTGTCGGCCGAGGCCATGCGGCCAGGTCGGGAGCGCGATGGGGCGCGGGGCTGCCCCGCGGATTGTGCCGTGGACTGCCCCGTGGGCCGCCCGACTTCGCACGGCGCGATGCGCGGTCACCTCCGCGCCCCTGCAGGCGATCTGGCCCGCCCCGGCCCCGAAGGGGAACGTAAGCGGGGGGGGGGACGAAAGGATAGGATAGCAACTTGTCGGGTCGAGAACCAGCTCGCGCAGCTGGCTTCCCTGGCGCCTCCTGGCGCGGGGAGGCGCCCATGCATCGAGGAATGGGGCCAGCGGCGGGGCGGAAACCCCTCCCCTCCCTTTCCCTATCCTGCCCTTTCGTCCGGCCCGAGTTGAAGGGGGGGCGATGCGTCGCCGATAGATCGTCGATGAACCCCGACGGCGGATCCGCAGGTTCCTGGATGGGGCGGGCCATCGGGCCCCTGCCGGCGATTCATGGGCGATTGGGGGTCGATGCATTCCCCCTCCCCCTGAGCCCAGACCTGCGACGTCCTGATTTTTTCAATGCGGGGTCCGAGAAAGCCCCGACCCTTTCCCTGGGACTGGTTTTTCATTCCGAGTCGTTTCTTGACGGTCCCGAGGCCCAGCGAGGGCCCCCCGTGGCCGAAATTTGCCCAACACCTCCCCTTCTGATTTGTTTCTACGACGCGATCATGTCTGGGAGCGTATCCCCCCCTAACGTTGCCCCTCGGATGTCGGGCCACCACTCCGCTCTCCGGCGGCTGCTCGGGCTGCTCACCCACGGGGCTGGGACAAAAATCCGCCGAGCACCCACGACGAAAAGGCCCGAACACCTCGCACTTCGAAGAACCCCCCTGAGCCCATCCCCCCCGATTTCGACCGCTCGGCCCCGAGGAGCCCCCAGGAGGCCCAAGAGGCCGCCAAGAGGCCTCCTCTAAAGGGCCCCCAAATCCCCCCAGAGGCCCCCAGAGGCCCCCAAGAGGCCCCCAAGAGGCCCTCAAGAGGCCCTCAAGAGGCTCCCTGGAAACTTCGAAACTGCTCCGAAGAGACCGACCCGCACCTCTCGAGGAGGGGTTTAACTACAGCATTGACGCACCCCGAACTTGTTTTTCCATCTAATCTACGAGAAGTGCGTAGGCTGTTCCGTAGGTCTACGGAGCATTCTAATCTTCATGGTCGATTCGACGGACATGTGCCGCCGCGCCGTTCGTTCTCGACGCGCCCAAGTGGACGACGCCGACACCACGGCAAACCCACAGCTAACCCCGCGCCCCGCACCCCAAGGCGAGGCCGCCACGCGGCAAACCCACGGCGAACCCACCGCGCCCGAGGAGGCGTTTGCCCTCGTGGCCGAGGCACCCTTCCCAAGACGTGCGGCCGCGCGTCGGGACACACGGCGCGGCGACATGTCAAGGTTGGGGTACTGTAGGAGCTCGACCACAAGAGACCTTCCACAAGAAAGCCAACTCGGAGGCCCCAAGACGTCCATCTACTTTTGGTGTGGGAACGTCGCGCTTTCCATAGGAGAACTACCGAAACCCAAGAAACACGGGGCACCCTGGAGGCAAGCAAGGTGTTTCTTGGTATGGGCTTCCACTGTATTGCGCCTTCCTTTGATCTGCCGTTACCTCAACCCTGCTCCCCCCTGCGCCGAGTGGGCGTCGGCCTTCCTGCCCTGGGAAGGCCGATCGACCGATCGAGGAGGGGGATGATGAGGATGGTCTTGGCCGGTCGCGGAGGAAGAGGAGGAGGAGAAGGATTCTCCCGCACGCAGCGCAAGCGATCAGGTCCCGGAGGCGGGCGCGCGGCGCGCGCGCGGCGACCCGTAAAGGATGACGGGGCGCCGCGCCCAAGCCGTGCGGCGCCCTCAGACGACCTCGTCCAACGAGGCCATCTGGACGGCCAGGTGGCCGTAGCAGCGCCGCAGGCCTGCCTGAGTAAGGCGGGGAGGGGGGGAGGGGGCCGAGAAGCTGCAGGACCTGAACGGGCGCGAGCGGCAAGGAGAATAGAGAAGCGCATTCTCCCGCACGCAGCGCAAGCGATCAGGTCCCGGAGGCGGGCGCGCGGCGCGCGCGCGGCGACCCGTAAAGGATGACGGGGCGCCGCGCCCAAGCCGTGCGGCGCCCTCAGACGACCTCGTCCAACGAGGCCATCTGGACGGCCAGGTGGCCGTAGCAGCCATACCCAGGCTCAAAGCCCTTGCGAAGTGACAAGGTTTTGGCGGGCGGCCGCGAGCAGAAGGGGCCACGCAGTGGGGCCACAGTTCAGAAAGGAAGCGACAAGGAAGTCGCTCGCGCCATCGAAGTAGGTGACACGGGCCCGAGCGGCATCAGGCAAGGCGGAAAGCATCGCGGCGGAAGCATCGTCGTGCAAGAAGCGCTCCGCGCTAGACGCCTGGCGCCAGCGACTACGCCAGAAGATACGACCAATATCTTCTGTGGCCGTATGAAAGTCTGTCGCGCCTGAGCCGCGGGGGCAAGCAGGGGTCAAGTGGAACCCCGCTGGCGTCTCGGCGAGCGGTACGCCTAACGCCAAAAGTAAATGGTTCCACCGAGTACGGAAGCCGCTTTGACCAAAGGTCGACAGAGGATCGGTGGGACCCAAATGCCGAAAGACCATCTCCAAAACCCGAACCACCGCTTTGTCAGAGCACCAGGCGTGCTGTGGCGGGTAAGACATGCTGCTCACTGGATCGGGAATGGTCATCCAAGCGTTGCCTGAGGACTCAAGGCAATCCGAAGGCAACAAAAGGTCACAGCGACGGGCTGACAGCAGCTCGTCGGGCTTCAAGGACATCGTGAACCCTGCCAGCAGCAAGGCGGCCATGACTGGCCAGTCCCAAGTGAAACAAACTGCCACCATAGCGCGCAAGAGCGCTCGTGGCATTGGCGGCCGAAGGCGAGGTGGCTGAGACCGCTTCCAGGCCCTCGCCACTCCCCACGCCTCGGTGAGAAAGGGCTTCCAATGAGGGAGACGTGCCTGGACGCCTATGATCGCGTGCACCAGGATGTTGAGCGGGAAACCTGCGTCGTGCAGCCACACGCCGAACGTTGCGAGGAACCTCGACAGCAGGATCCCACTACGATACAGCGGAAGTGGCGCCACCCCTGCGTCCTCGGCGCACCACAATTCGAACGCGTAGAGAGCTCTTTTGCGCCGATCGCCGGCCGAAGTCAGAACAGCGCCTGACCAGGGAGCGCTGGGAGGCTCCGTCTCTGCCGCCCTGCGGCGGCGGCGGCGCGCGGGGTGGGGGACTCGCCGAGGCCAGGCAAGGGTGGCACTCTCGTCGCGATGCCGCGCCGGCTCAGCCTCGCTGTGCAAGCCCGTACCAACCCTGGCCTCCGCCTCGGCGGCGCTGTCCACCTCCGCGAGGGCAGTTGGCGCTGCCACAGGCGAGGGCGAGTACGCCGCCGCCTCAGGGAATCCAGCGGAGGCGGCCTCTCTGACGCAATCAGCAAGACGAGAGCGGGCGATGCGCATCGCATCCTTGCGCCGCTCGAGCTCGGCTAAGAGCGTCTGCATTCGCTTCGCCAGCTCTCCCGCGCTCTCGCCAGTCTCTTCGCCTGTTCCCAGCATAACCTCGGTGAGAGCGGCCTCGGCAGCGGCGACCGAGGATAGGAATCGCGCGCGAGCGCGCCGGTCGGCACGCGCGCGCCGCGCAACCGCGGCCGCTGGGCCAGCGACTCGGCTGGTGCGCATCGCAACCGAGGTAGCGCACGCCCCGTCTTGGGGCAGGCCTCGAGCCGCGCGCGCAGAGGGCTCCAAGGAGTCGAGAAGGTGTGGCGCAGCCGCCAACGCGTCTGAGCCCTTCTCGTGCGCGGCTCCGCTAGGTTGGGGGAGATCCGCGCTATCAACGGGCGAGTCCACCGACAGAAGTGCGGCGCGAGGCGCGGCCGCGGGGCCAAGAGACCTCGGACTGGCCC